GCCCCATCACCCGAGGCAACAGTCGAATCTGAAACCCCGGCTGCCCCATCACCCGAGGCAACAGTCGAATCTGAAACCCCGGCTGCCCCATCACCCGAGGCAACAGTCGACTCTGAAACCCCGGCTGCACCATCACCCGAAGCACCGGTGACCCCATCACCCGAAGCACCAGTGGCCCCATCACCCGAAGCACCGGCGACCCCATCACCCGAAGCAACTGTCGACTCTGAAACCCCGGCTGCCCCATCGCCTGAAGCACCGTTGACCCAATCGCCTGAAGCACCGTTGACCCAATCGCCTGAAGCACCGGTGGCCCCATCGCCCGAAGCACCGGTGGCCCCATCGCCCGAAGCACCGGCGACCCCATCACCCGAAGCAACGGCGACCCCATCACCCGAAGCAACTGTCGACTCTGAAACCCCGGCTGCCCCATCACCTGAAGCACCGTTGACCCCATCGCCTGAAGCACCGGCGACCCCATCACCCGAAGCACCAATTGACTCTGAAGCTCCAGTGGCCGCTTCACCCGAGGCTCCAGTGGTCGCTTCACCTGAAGCACCAATTGACTCTGAAGCTCCGGTGGCCGCTTCACCCGAGTCTTCGGTGGCCGCTTCACCCGAGTCTTCGGTGGCCGCTTCACCCGAGTCTCCGGTGGCCGCGTCACCCGAGTCTCCGGTGGCCGCGTCACCCGAGTCTCCGGTGGCCGCGTCACCCGAGTCTCCGGTGGCCGCGTCACCCGAGTCTCCGGTGGCCGCGTCACCCGAATCTTCGGTGGCCGCTTCACCCGAGGCACTCGTAGAGTCTGAGACCCCGGCTCCAGTGGCTGCATCACCCGAGGCACCAGTAGAGTCTGAGACCCCGGCGGCCCCATCACCCGAGGCACCAGTAGAGTCTGAGACCCCGGCGGCCCCATCACCCGAGGCACCAGTAGAGTCTGAGACCCCGGCGGCCCCATCACCCGAGGCACCAGTAGAGTCTGAGACCCCGGCGGCCCCATCACCCGAGGCACCAGTAGAGTCTGAGACCCCGGCGGCCCCATCACCCGAGGCACCAGTAGAGTCTGAGACCCCGGCGACCCCAACACCCGAGGCACCAGTAGAGTCTGAGACCCCGGCGACCCCATCACACGAGGCACCAGTAGAGTCTGAGACCCCGGCGACCCCATCACCCGAGGCACCAGTAGAGTCNGAGAGCCCGGCGACCCCATCACCCGAGGCACCAGTCGAGTCTGAGAGCCCGGCGACCCCAACACCCGAGGCACCAGTCGAGTCTGAGAGCCCGGCGACCCCAACACCCGAGGCACCAGTCGAGTCTGAGAGCCCGGCGACCCCAACACCCGAGGCACCAGTCGAGTCTGAGAGCCCGGCGACCCCAACACCCGAGGCACCAGTCGAGTCTGAGAGCCCGGCGACCCCAACACCCGAGGCACCAGTCGAGTCTGAGAGCCCGGCGACCCCAACACCCGAGGCACCAGTCGAGTCTGAGAGCCCGGCGACCCCAACACCCGAGGCACCAGTCGATGACATCATTCTTCCTCCAAACTTGGGCTTCGTGTACTCATCACCGCCTCCACCAATGTTCCCAGGCTACTAAGTGGCTAATCATCCGACTCTCCTCTCTATTTAAACATTTTTATTTTCATTCTTTCAAGTTTTGTTTCTTTGTTAGTTGGTAGCGTCATTAATAACTCTATGGGCCCTTGATCCCCACGAATTGTAACGATCTCTTTCTGTGTGCATCAAGGCCATTGGAATTTCAATGAGATTCATGTATTGCTTTGAATGATTGCAAAATATATATATACATGATCTATGTTCCATGATAGACATATTCTTGTTACGATTTAAATTAAATTATTTAAGATGATATAAGACCATGCAACTACTTTAGAGAAGACAAATATAATTTGTAGATAAAAGGGCCACATAGTAATTTCAGTCATTCGAGGGATGTCCAGATACCCTGCTTGTACTCTTAGTGCATGAACATATTTCAAATTCCAAGGGGATGATCATCATCGTTCACCACTTCCTTCCCGAATGGAAACAGACGCGCAAAAGGAATCACAGCAAAAGCGCTACCCAACAACAATAAAATAACGGAACCCAAAGTTTTGATTTTTAAATTCTGTTTTTCTGAAATTGGAAAAAATAATTAAGAATCATAGAGTTTGCTTTTAGTTGGCGTTTTTGCTGGCTTTGCATGTTCGTACTGCACAATGCCACCGCTGTTCTTTTCTTAGCTTTTGTGTTCCCCATATCAATTGGTCTCTCGATTCTTTGCCACTCCCCTTTATAAGAATCCCCGCCTCACTCTTAGCCACTGCCACTGCGAGTTTCTCTGTTTCCAGAAAATGGTGATTTTTAATGATCCTCTCGGCTCCTTGCAGCATCTCCTTGACACCCTTCAGGCTCCGACGTATGCCGCAGCCTCCATTCTGGGTGTCATCTCTTTCTTACTTGCGGGTTTTCTCGTCGCCGATTGGAGAAAGAGTCGCCGGAATTTTCTCCCTCCGGTGCCGGGTAATGTCGGCTCCTGATTCTCGATCTGATTATAGGGGTTTTAGTGGTAATGATGTGAAATTGATGATCTAATGAATTTTAGAACGGTGGTTTGGTTTTGTAGCGATTCCGGGGTTGCCGGTGCTGGGGAATTTGTTGCAGTTGAAGGAGAAGAAGCCTCACAAAACGTTTGCACGGTGGGCTGAGACGTACGGACCGATTTACTCCATAAGAACCGGCGCCTCCACTGTGATTGTTCTGAACACCGCCGAGGTCGCCAAAGAGGTATGAATTACGGCTGTTTTCCGGCCAACTTTTGTCTTCTGATTCTAACTCTGCTCTGTTCTTGTCTTGATTCTTTTAAGGCTATGGTAACGAGGTACGCTTCCATGTCCAGTAGAAAGCTAAGCAAAGCACTCACCATCTTGACTTCTGATAAATGCATGGTTGCTATGAGCGATTACAATGACTTTCACAAGATGGTCAAGAAGTACATATTGGCCAATGTGTTGGGAGCTAATGCACAGGTTGTTTCTCCCTTCTTCTTCTCTTGATTTGGGTTAAATCTAATAGTTTGATCTGTTTCATTTTCAGAAGAGACACAGACAAAGAAGAGACACCATGATAGACAATATTTCCAGCCAGTTGTTTGCTCATGTGAAGGATTCTCCATCAGAATCTGTCAATTTTCGAAGGATATTCGAATCGGAACTCTTTCGATTGGCGCTTAAAGAAGTGAGTTGATTCTGTTCTTCTGTTTAGAGAGGAGGATAGATATCTAACTTCCATGATTTCACTGGCAGACACTTGGGAAAGATATCGAGTCGATATATGTCGATGGGCTCGGTATGTTGCCAAGGGAAGATCTGTTCAGGGTTCTCGTGATCGATCCGATGGAGGGTGCTATCGAGGTTGATTGGAGGGATTTCTTCCCATATCTGAAATGGATTCCCAACAAGAGTGTGGAGAATAAGATCAGGCAGATGGATTTTCGCAGGCGAGTGACGATGATGAGCCTAATTGAGAAGCAGAAGAAACGAATTGCTGCAGGGGAGGTAGTTCTTTGTTGTCTTGAACTGAATCTGCTCTGCTGCAGAGAGTTCTTTAATGTCTTGGCTTGAATCTTTAACAGGAAACGAATTGCTATGCTGACTTCTTGTTGTCTGAAGCAAAAACACTGACAGAACATCAGATAGCTATGTTGCTTTGGGAGACGATCATTGAAACCTCGGACACTACTTTAGTTGTAACAGAATGGGCTATGTATGAACTTGCCAAAAATCCTAAACGACAGGCAACTTCCTAAGAACACTACCATTTCTGTTGTTTTGCTTGTCTGTCCAATTCTTAAAGTCATTCTATGAAACCTTTTTGGCATTGCAGGACTATCTATATCAGCATATACAGAGTGTCTGTGGCTCTGAAAAGCTTACTGAAGATGACCTGTCGAAGCTACCGTATCTGACTGCTGTGTTTCATGAAACTCTTCGGAAGCATAGTCCAGTACCGATCGTCCCGTTGCGATATGTGCATGAAGATGCCCAGTTAGGTGGGTTCTTTGTTCCTGCAGGGAGTGAGGTGAGCCATCCTGGAACCTTTGATGAACCCTCCAGTGTAATTTGATTTGACTATGTCTGATGATGTTTCGTTCGCAGATTGCCGTGAATATTTACGCCTGCAACATGGACAAGGATCGTTGGGAAAGCCCTGAGGAATGGAAGCCAGAGAGGTTTCTGGATGAGAAATATGATCCAATGGATCTGCACAAAACCATGGCCTTTGGAGGAGGGAAGAGGGTGTGCGCAGGTGCTCTCAAGGCAATGCTGATAGCTTGCACATCCATTGGAAGGCTTGTTCAAGAGTTTGAGTGGAAGCTGGGGGAAGGGGAAGAGGACAAGGTGGACACTCTTGGCCTCACTGCTCGCAAGCTCCAACCGCTGCACGCAATCGTAAAGCCAAGAATCAGCTAATGAAACGTCCTCCGCCGTCTTTAGACTGTTGAATCTCGAATAACTATCATGAGACTCTTTGGACACCATCAGAGGCTGAAGAGAAGTTAGAGTGTTTTAGATCAGTTTATAATAGAAGGTGTGCACAGATAGAGTTTTAGCTCGTAACAAGTTGGAAATTTAGCTGAACGATACTCGAGTGATTTGTTGCATATTGCCCGGTAATCGAATGCATTTTCCGACTGACGAGATTTTGATATCAGAAACAAAACCATAAAACATAGATCGACAAAGTAACAAACCAGATTTTCCATGTTTCGATAGAGAATTTTACGAACTCTTTAACTATTATCCACGAAAATATCGATATACGACACACTCCTAGGTAGATCTCATTTGTTTAGAACTGCTGCTCTGCTCTGATGATGATTCTTTGATCAACTGGGTTTGAAGAACTTCAACTTTAGTCCACTGGTAACCAAACTCCAGATTCCTCCGATTGAGAAAGCCAAGCTAAAAGCAATGCCTAGCCAGCCCAATGTCCAGTGGAAGTACCAATTGAAGCTGAATTTAGTAGGCTTTTTCACGAGAACCCACATGAAGCAAGGGTAAGCAAATGTGACTGGAAGAGTGAGTCCTCCTAGCAGACCCGCCAAACTGGAGAGGAAAGGAAGTGCTACTCCTATGAAGAAGTTGACAAATCCATAGAAGACACGGAAACCAGAACGGACCCAGATCGAGCAAGGGCGGTTAGTACGACTTGTGTAGCTAGCTTCAAAGTTGTCGAAAACGGGCATCGAGTAAATTTGGAAACTGCTCAAACAATTGAACACAACTAGAAGGAAAGTGATGGCAAGAAGCCCTCTGGGAATATCATGGCCGTGAAATGCATATATAGCATTAAGCATCCCTCCTGAAGGCATCTGCGAAACAATAGTCAATCGTTAACCATCCAAGCTCACTCGAAATGAACAAAGATAGATACTCACAAGATTTCCATAAGCCCAATATCCACCAATAGCAACTGGAAACAAGCATGCTGCAATGAAAAAATACGCAACTTTGGCTCCTCTCCACATGGGAACATGAGCAGGGTGCTTAAATGTTGATGGCATTGTTGCCTGAGAGACACCAAAACAAACATAATTCAGATTCAACCAAAGAGAGCAGCTCGATTAACAAACATAATTCGGATGCAAAAGGCACACCTGAATTTCCAAAACCAAGTTATGGCCTCTGAAAGCAAAGGCTATGATTCCAAGTGCATTCATGACAGAGAAAACAGAAGAAGAAGGCGATGGCATTGAAAGGGGTTCGTAAGAGATCGTGAGAGGCCTTTGCTGGCTAACAGAGAGGACCCAAACCATGGTGGAGTAAGTGATGGCAGTCACAGCTCCAATAAGAGAAAGTCCAGCAATTGAATTGAGGTTTGGCAATTGAGAAAGAACAATGCAGAGAGATGTAAATACAAGGTACCACTCTACAGTTGTTAAAGGATTTGATGAACACAGCGGCCCACAAACTATTTGGAAAAAGAGTTTCATTGTCTCTCCTCCAACAATGATCAATGCGGTTGCAGTTCCTGCTGATAAGTAGGCAGTTGGAAATACAGCAAGCCATACACCCAATCTTTCCCCTGAAAATTATACAACAAAATCCTTTAACCAATGTGTCGAATATGCTTCGGTGATGATTAGATGGCACGGTTCCGAGATTGAAGGATGCTGTTTAACATATTTCTAACGGTCATAGATGGAATTTGTGGCCTCTTAGGTTGCCCAAGTTCACTACTAGCAGATATTGTTTGCTTTGGCCCGTTACGTATCGCCATCAATCTCATAGTTTTAAAACGCGTTTGTTAGGGAGTGTTTTCCACACCCTTATAAGAAATGCTTTGTTCCCCTCTCCGATTGGTGTGGAATCTCACAATCCACCCCCCACACTTATAAGAAATGTTTTGTTCTCCTCTCCGATCGGTGTGGGATCTCACAATCTACCCTTTTGGGGGCCAGCGTCCTCGCTAGCACATCGCCCAGTGGCTGGCTCAGATACCATTTGTAGCAGTCCAAGTTCACCGCTAGCAGATATCGTCTGCTTTGACCCGTTACGTATCGTCATCAGTCTCACAGTTTTAAAACACGTATGCGAGGGAGAGGTTTCCACACTCTTATAAGAAATGCTTCGTTCCCCTCTCCAATCAAGGTGGGATCACAAACCTCGAATAATTTCTTAAGAAGATGACATACAGGTCTATAAAAGTTGGTATTGGACTTGTGAAGTGTAAGGAGATCTTACCAAATGCTGCTTCAGCAAGCTCCACATATCTGTTGTACCTTTTGCCTGGCACTGCTTCGTGAAGCTGAACCAGAATCCACAGGGTATAAAGTTGCCAGCAATAGGCTATGGTTAGTGATAGTATTCCCCAGCTCCTACAAAATTACGACAAAAAACAGATAAAACCAAGTCAGAGATGGTTACATCAGATCTTCTATGAAATTGAAATTTTTGTCTGTCTTTGTCTTTGTCTCTATCTCTGTCTCTCTCTTTCACTACACCCAGAAACTCAAGAAAGCATTGATTGGGGACCATGACATGTAACATGTTAAATTACCATTTATTGCTTCATATGTTTTGAAGCTTCCTTCCTAAAATATGTTATGAAAATTACGAAGAGCCGATTGAAATTGATAGCGGGGCTTAAATAGTAATTTAACTTTTGTAATACAATAAAAACTTGCAAAAATTTGATTTTGCTTTCGTTTGACCTAATAATGATTTAGAGGCTGAAATTATGGCAGGTGGGCATCATGTAAACCAGAAAAAGTGGAAATATTTCGAGTAGGACCCAACAAAGATCATACATTTCTGTCTTAATCCATTAAAAAGTATCCAAAGATAAGATGACCCACCAAAAACAAAGGTGTCGCATTTTGGGAGCAAAAGCGAAAGGTCATATAGTGTTGTCCCTCTTCGAATCTAAGCATGCATAAAAGAACTTTTGTGAATTGAAAGCTTTGACTAAGTTGACAGGATTTCACATTCCATTTTTATGGGACCATTTTCACCTGTGTTGTTATTTATTATCGTTTAAGTCCACCGCTAATCGTTATTGTCCTTTTTGGACTTGCCCGATATATTTCTGGGCTTTCTCTTTTGAGTTTCTACTCAAGATTTCAAAACGTGCCTAATAGGGAGAAGGTTTCACACCTTATAAGGAATGTTTTGTTTCCCTCTCTAATCGACGTGGGATCTCACAATCCACCTCCTTAGGGTCCTGCATCCTCATTGGCATACCGATCGGTGTTTGGCTCTGGCATCATGTTTACTATCCATGGTCACCACTGACAAATATTGTCCGTTTTAGCCAATTATGTATCGCTCTCAGCCACACAGTTTTAAAACACATCTTTTAGAGAGAGATTTCCACATCTTTATAAGAAATGGTTCATTCTCGTGGATCTCACACCCCATTATCCTTGCAAAATTTACCATCAGCTTTATTTGTAGTGGTGGGGGCAAGGAGCACCATGGTACAAGAAAAAAGACATAGTTCATCTAAATTGAAGCCTACTTAAGTAACTATGGAATATCAGTGAGTTTTCTAAATCTACATGGAAAAGCAGGCTTCTCAAATTGAAGACTAAACTCGTGATATAATAAGATTAGATAATCTTGTGTATTTTTATTTGTACATTTGCATTATCAATAATCAGTCATGTTGTGGCGGTGTATATACCTCTTCTTGAAATGCAAAGCAAGAGTGTTTTTCGTTTGAAAATTGACACAAGGCACAACTAGTGATGACTCTATTAATTAGCTCAAAAGATGAGGTTAGAGAAGGTACCAGCCGAGGAAGGCAAAGGCTACGGGCAACACGAGAGCCTGGAAGCCGATACCGGCATTGAGGTTATGAAAGGCAGCGTAGTGAGCGTTGCCATTGCGGGACTCAGTAATGGGAAGCCAAGCATCCTGAGGGTTAAGCTTGGTGAGATGGCCCACCTCCTCTAAGTAACCCTTCATATTAATCAGCACCCTTTTCATGGGAGTCCCAATGGGGCTCAAAAACCTCGGCGATATAAACGACGTCGGAGTCCACGCCGTGGAAGACTTAGCCTCCTTAGAAGGCGGCCTAGGCGACCGCTGTCCGGTCGGCGTCAGAATCTCCGGCGTAGACACTCGTGGGGTCGCCGGAATGGAAATGAGCTCCGTCTCCGGCCTCTCCTCCATGGCAAACGCTGCTTTCTTCAGTCTCCGGTAGTAGGGAATTGAGTTGGGGGCTCAGCAGCTGAAGCGGAGGCGCGTGGAAGTGAAGGAGGCAGTGATTTTGAGGGCGTTGATATAGAGAATCAGAAGTGAGAGTAAAGTGAAAGTGAAAGTGGATGAAAATGGAATTACAAAATGGTTGATTGAAGAAGAGCTGGGGTCAGTGGATGATGAAGGGATGCCTAATTTTGTAAGATTGGCTTCGTCTTTTTGGATCAGAAATAAGCTGCCGGCCATTGATTCTTTCACTATCTCCGACATAATTAACGCTCATTCGACAAGGAAAGCAAAAGGTGGAGACGAGTGAAGTGTACGCGGCGAGAGTTGGGAGGGTCAAGTTTGAGTGAGACCCCGACATGAGCGTGCGGACCCAAGTCGGGTTTCGAGTCAAGACACAAAACCCGCCATTTCTGTCATCCACTGTCACGCACCACCGCCACAGATAAGTAATGATAACAAAGGCACCATTCTAACTTTTTAGGATACATTTTATTTGCTATAATATAAACATGAGCTTATATATGTTTTAGGTTAAATTAATACAAATAATTTCAACTTTATACTTTCTTCGATTTAAAAAAAATCTTTAAAATATCCTTTCAACAAAATAAAAAAATTTACTATTAATTTTAATTTTAAATCAAACCATTAATATTTTGAAGTTTTTCAACTATATTTTTTGAATTTTTAAAAGTTTCATTGATCCCAGTTTAAAAAAAAAAAAAAAAAAAAAAA